CCCCCCCCCCCCCCCCCCCCCATATAAAGAAAGTTCAATTCCTTTTGATCATCTGATAACTAGTACAAATACTTTAATATACTATCACGGGTAAAGTTATTCAAACAAGGACAGTGACAATGGGGGAGAAACAGGTGTATGTGTCAGCACTTGTTTGGGTAAAAAAAAAAAAAAATTTAAACTGTCGAATCATTAAATGACATGTGGCCCACCTATTTTTATATCTGTCATTGACTCTGTTTTTGTAGCAAAACTCTACTATCACACTTTGTACAGTAAGTAGTAGTTGACGTATAAAAAAGGATTTTTAAGTTTCTATAATTTCTTTAAGAAATACGCCTAAAATTCATTTTTAAGTAGGGATTGGGAAAGGAAGTACCAATTTTTGTACCATTAACCTCAGTTGTGAAAACAAAAATTTTAATCAATCGGAATATCAATTATATTTTAGTTGTTTTCTCTATAGCGTGACACGTCTTTCCAACTACAACAGCAAATGAAGATAATAAAAGTAATGACAAGATAAAAATGGATTAGTCGACATAATCAAGTAACACGTGTTAGTTTTTAATTAACTAGTGTAAAAGATGAAAAAATATATATATATAAAAGAAGATTACTACGATGATTTAAGTAACACGCATGTTAACCACACTTGAGTAGTTAAAAATACAACCGAACTGCAGTGCCAAGGAGACACCCTCCCTAACAGACAGAACACACACATAGGGGGGAGGGAGGCATTTTTTTTTCCATGCAGGTCCCACGTCAATCTTGCACTCATGTGAGGTTAGGTCAATCAGGTGTGCAAATCAATTCGGACAAACTAGCTTAATTCTAAAAAATATCAAAACATAAAAGAGTCGTACTTGATTGGAAGTTGAGTAGTGATGCCTTTAGCCATCTAGAAATAAAACAAAAACAAAAGGAGATGCTTAAATGAGGTCGAGAAAATGAACACAAAAAAATTATCAAAAGAGTAGTAAGAAGAAATTTGTGTAAATTTTTCAGTTAATTTGAAAGGAATGGTTATTTTATTTTTCAATAAAAGTGGCCACAAAATTGAATGTTTACACAACCTATGTGACACACCTCGTCATATATCCTACTTTAGTGCTTATCTCATCAATTTCCTTAATACCATGATAAAATTATAGTGTGGTGAAGTCAATAGTTATTTTTTACCGAATGAAGGAAAGATTGAAAAATGATCATAACCATCGAGGTATATATTATTAATTTGACACAAACTGATCAATTCCAATGAATTTAAGTGCTCGTTTGGGATAGATCAAAAAGTTATTAAAAATTTGAGGTCAACCATCGAGGTATATATTATTAATTTGACACAAACTGATCAATTCCAATGAATTTAAGTGCTGGTTTGAAATAAATCGAAAAATTGCTAAAAAGTTGAGATCAAAATTATAGATTAATTTTAATCACATATTACATAGGATACATAATTTTTACAACTTTTCAATCATATATTTCATTGACTTTTATCAAAATTTGCTAAAATTTTTTCAAAAGCTTTAATAATTAGTATGTAATACTTACACGTGATACTGGAATATGTTTGGGAAATTATAAAAAATCAGNCCATGATTAATATTTCTGAACAAACAATATTTTGTTTCCAATGTGAAGCCCTGAAAATGACACATTCACATTCAGGATTTTGATTGATTTGCAGAATCTGGAAATGATCTCAAAATGCATTCACATGTAGACTAAAGAATTCAAGAAAACAGTGCATGGAAGTGCAAGATTTCCCTCAACTTGGCTCTCCTTTTTCCCAAAGGGCCCAAACTATAGCTCTCAAGTTTCAACTCTTAAAAATGGGCCCTCCATATGAAGAAAGTTCAATGCCTTTTGATCATGGGATAAGTTGCTACAAATACTTGTCGGAAAAAATGGATAATTTGTGTGTAGATTAATTATAAATTAATATAATCAATTAAACATCATAAGTATAAGAAGAGATTTAGAAAACAAATGTCAGGGAGTCCGAGTCGCGTCAAGCTACACGGCTCCAAAATAAAATCCATGTGGCTTACAGTCTTGCTCCTTCTATTGGCACGACCACGGAAAGATAAAAAAACGAATCTTTATCGAATTGCCGAAACTATAAAAAGTAATATATAAGTGTAGAGAGTATTCTATTAAGTTATCTTTTTCATGTTATGTTTAACCCCATGAAAATTACTTCCTTTTTATAGGGAGAAATTAAACCACCACAATTAATAAAAAATATGAGTTACTATCATATTATCGCATTTAGGGATGGCAAAGGCTGAGCAGATAGACACCCGAGCTTAGTTGAATCATTTGACGAGCCAAGCTCTAGTCTCATGTTTACAAACTAAGTTATGTTCGACCCATTGACTCGTGGACCTCATCAGTTGAGTCAAGCTAGTTAGAAAAGTGAATATTGTGATTGTTATGATTTCTTAACGTTACAATAATCAGCCAAGATACAAGGAATTTATACAGAGTTAAGAAGATTCTGGAATGATGCAAATAACAATCTAAACTAACCTACCAGCTGGCTAACAAGATCAAAATCAATTTCCTAAAAATCAGGAGCTGCAATGTGCTAGTGTCTGCTGCTCCAAATGTCTTCACCTGATGAATTTTAACTAAGCTGGGCGGCCCACGAGCCCAAAACGAGTCGGCTTATGGGACAAGGCCCTTGAATTTGCTCATGAAAAAGGGTGTCTCACTCAATCCATAACTCGCTTTAAAACGAGCCTGAAATGTCCATGGATCGGGCTAAGTCCAAGAACAGTTCGACCATTTTGCACATCTAATTACACATGTTAGTAGTTGACAGCTAACTAGTACTATTAGACAAAAAAAAAAAGTATAAAATTTCATATATGGTACTCTCCTATTACTCGTAAAAAGGAGTTCTATGTTTCTAAAATTTCTTGAAGAAACACGGCCACAATTCATTTTCTGAGTGCGGACTGGGGGGGGAGGTACACATCCTTGAACCGTTGGCCTCAGTAGAAACAACAATTCGTAACCAATTGGGTCAAGAAAAATTCGTAGCATATTTTGTTCATTTACAGTATGGATCAAGAATACACCAATGCAAATGAAAATGAGCCCAACGCCAACCTAATTGAGTCCATAATGAAAGCCCCGTTTGTTAAATATGTGGGCCTATAATTGGGCCAAATGTATGACTAACCCCAAGTTCAGGATCTGCCCAATAGTTGTAACGGTCGAAAAATGAAGCCACCTGGTTTTCCGTTGCGCCGCTCATTCACTCTCTCTTGAGATTCTTTCAAAACAAAAATCCATCTTCTTCTTCTTCTCATCATTTACAGATTATCGTTTTCTCAATTTTTTTGTCAAATTATCGTTTTTTCCTCTGTTGCATTTCTTGAAACTTTTGGCACAACTTCTCAAGCCGTTTTTGTAAATCTTCATTCAGGTCATGATTTTTAAGGTTAACTTACATTTTTGTATCTCTATTTTCAAGCTAGTGCAATTATTAATTTCTTGACATGTATGAGCAATTGAGCGTTCATATATAGAATTATGTTAATTTTGTGAGCCCTAGTTTTTTTTCTATTTATTTATTATTTTTTCCTATTTATTATGTCTCATTATATCTAATTCTCTTTGATATGCATGCCACGCTAATTGCTCTTAAATGGTGTTTATTAATTACCAGAACTTGACGAATTTTCTGGGTTTTATTCAGGTTATTGTTTGTATTCTGGAATTTCTCTACCCGTCCAATCCTCAAGGGACTTGTACCATTTAGAAGGGAATTTGATTTAGTTGGGTACTAAACTCACAGCCCAATTTTGCAAAAATGTTTGGCTTTATGAAATCCCCTGCAAATAAACCTCCTAAACAAAATCCTTCAAACCTTTTTGATTCTGATACTGAATCAGATAAGGTAAACGCAATTACACCTGCAAGAAGAACTTCTTCCGAACCAATACTTGTTACTCCAAGCTCAAAATCGAGCAATTTTGATGATGACGATTATTTTGGGAGGGGTCCACCATCTAAAATCAAACAAAAGAAGGATCTTGAAACCATGTCTGTTCAAGAATTGGAGAGTTATGCTGTGAACCAGGCTGAGGAGACCACTAAATCTGTAAATAACTGTGTGAAGATTGCAGAGGATATTAGACAGGATGCCACTCGGACCCTTGATACCTTGCATCAACAGGGGGAGCAAATCCATAGGACCCATGAGATGGCTTTAGATATGGACCGTGACTTGAGCCGGGTACACTCACTCACAGCTGATCTTATATTAAAATTTTTTGTGGCACATGAGAGGACTACCCCAAGGTCTCTGTGCATGAAAATTGAAATGTATACATTCTTCGACGATGAAATAGTGTGAATTTGACTTCCAGATTACCAATTTGATTTCCGACTAGTACTAAAAAAATCCACGAAGATATATCATGATGTACATCCCAGATTAATAATCTTCCTGTAAATTATTTTATGCATTTTGATTCTCGAAATTTGATCCATTTGACTTTGAGCTCTACATTATCAAACCATCATTTTGAGATTATTCTGGTTGTTTCCAATGCAATTTTCATTGTTTCGAATATGGTTTCTTCTCAACTTTATTAAGATAGTATACCTTGTCCTAATCATACGAGTCGTACATACATGTGTCAGTTTGTCTAGTCTGGCACAGTCCAATCAAGCATAGCAAATAGAATAATTCTTCATGTACAACACTTGGTTACAACATTGGATGAAAACCTCTCACAAGGAGGGTGGGGTCCGCGACCATCCAATGTTGTAACCAAGTGTTGTACATGTAGCATTTCTCCCTTATCAGCTTTCTCTAGTGACAATGGGCATATGTTTTGGTTTTAGGGGGAGAAATTATTGAATAATCTTGGGGGCATGTTTTCCAAGCCTTGGAAACCAAAGAAGACAAGGAACATCACAGGGCCGCTAACTTCAAAAGGTCTCTTGTGCTCCCCTTTTACTGTCCTAATGGCTTCATAAATGAATCATTACTTCATTGAAACTTGGTAGTAGATAACGCGTTCGAATAATATATGTGGCTTCCTGTTTGGAGATATCATTTTTTATGAGTTGTTGGTTTAACAGATGATAATGACAAAGGAAAGCGAGCTAGGAAAGAGCAAAGGGAAAAGTTGGGTTTGGGTGGTGCACCTAAAGGTTCTCGTACACCTCCTCCCGAACCAACTAATGCCATGCAGCAAGTTGAGGTATGCGTTCGTCATATAACATTGTATGACGAGCAATAATACAGTATACATGTCCATTGTCTTGTTTTATTGTGATTATTAACATGGATTTGATACCAGTTTGAGAAGGCAAAGCAAGATGATTCACTTTCAGACCTGAGCAATATATTGGGTGACTTGAAGGGTATGGCTGTCGACATGGGATCTGAACTTAACAGGTAATTCATCTTTATATGAATTGCACTACACCGTATTGGATAGATAGACAAGATTTTAGCTTATTTTTTCTTTCATAATAGCGTCCACTGCTGTCTAATGCATGTTGCGTTAGTTTACTTTTCTATTGATGGATTATGGTTAATATCAAGTCTGCATGAAACAGGCAGAACAAGTCCCTCGATCATCTTTCAGACGATGTGGATGAACTAAATTCTCGAGTGAAAGGTGCCAATCAACGAACTCATCGTTTGGTTGGGAAGTAAGAGACCTTGGTTTTGAATCCAAGTAGATCTAGCTTGTATCCTTTGTTTCTTTTCTTTCTTTTTGTTAATAATACCAGGTCTGTTCACTTTTATGGCAATTCTTACATGTCCAACTTCTTGTAATTTACACAAATAACAGAATTTTGTTCAAGATGTAATTTGCACAACTATTCATTTAGACAGCAATGCCAATATTACAAAATATAAACAATGTTACTTGTATATAATAGAATTACATAATAATTTACATACAAATGAGATGTTAAAAAAGAATTGGAATTTTTTTTTTTTTAATTTGATTGAAGAAATTCTGATCACCACATTATGTATACGTAGCACAATCAACAAAATATAGGATTTATGTTGTTGATCATTCGAAAACAATTAGAAAGAATAAAACCAAGGAAACAAAAGTCAAATAACCAAATGATATCGAAGTTAGGGGGTGAGCAAAATTGACCAATTCAACGTAATTTGATTTGATGTCGAAGAGCAACAATTAAGACCAAATTGAGTCGGACCAATTTTTTTGTTAGCAGATCTTTGAAGTCAAAAATCTCAAAGAAGAACCAGATTGAATTGTTTGGTTCCTCTTCAATCCCGTTCAATTTTACATAGAAACAATTTGTGCTTTCTAAAAGATGAGTATATCAATCGATTTAGCTAAGATTTAGATAAAAATTAGATGACATTAATTGATATATTTAAATATACAATATAACGGGGCTGTACTCAGTTAATATTTAGCTCTTGTTTGGTATTGACAATCAGAGTTTAATATAAGACAAAGTTAACAAACAATTTTAACCACATATTTCATGAGTTTCGTAACTTTTCAACCGCATATTTTATTAAAATCTACTAAAAAGTTAATTTTAACCCCTACCAAACAAGGGGTTTAATAAATTTTAAAAGGTTGTAAATTAAAATGAATTTTGTGAATTTAAATAGACAAAATTCATAAGAATTTCATTAAAAATGTTGAAATTTCAAAAAAATTTGTTAGATGTATTTCTAAACACGAAATTCATAAAAATCTTTCGAAATTCCTTTATTAATAAAATCCTTATAAATCCACGAATCAATGAAATACCTAAATTTTAAAGGATTTCATTAAAATCTTAACCCCCGTTTGACACCCATTTTTTTCTCTTTCTTCATTTCAACTACACATTCTATCAATAAAATAATATTACACATAAACCAAAAAATTCTCATTACTTTTTAACCACACACCTTATTCTATCAATCACTATTTCAAAATTTATTTTTTCTCCAAAATGGGTGTGAAACAGGGGCTTAGTTAGTAGCACCTAGATTTCAATGAATTTTAATAAAACGCGTTAAAGTCTCAATTAAAACAAACTGAAATTTTGAAAGATTTGTAAAATCTATTAAAATCCCAGTTGAATACATCTTTGTAAGTCTCTTTCAAAATGGCATGTAAATTAATGGTATTTGTACTGATTGGCATTGACATCCATTTAAGAAAGTCTCAACTCTTGCATGATTGTTCCATAGACATAAATACAAGTCAATTCGAACCAAATAATATTAGAACCCCTACCCCACCCCCTACACCCAAAATTTCAACTATTGATCTATTTTTTGAACATATGCGTGACTGATTTAATGAAAGATTGTGATTGATGTTGCTGTAAATTTCAAGGGATGCCCCATTTCCTTTTGTCATAATCTCAAGAATTTCATCCAAATTTTCTTGATATATGTACAGATGGATATATATAACTTCCACCACCAAACAACTCTCTCTCTCTCTCTCTCTCTCTCTCTCACGCACAATGAAGAGTTCTCTCTCTCTTCTTCTCATTCTGATCACCCTATTTTCCATCTCTGAAGCCCAAAGTCACCATCAAAATCGACAGCAGGTGGTGCACCACCCAATCACCGCCCGAACCCCACCATTCCCGCTGCCACCTCCATCGATGGATGATCACGAAATTGATCCAAGATACGGTGTTGAGAAAAGATTAGTCCCTTCTGGCCCTAATCCTCTTCATAACTGAATTCTACAACCTTCATTTCATCATCTCCATATTTTTTTCTCACTTTCTTGATCATTTTCTTTATATCTTCAACACCGTTCTAGTAGTAGGTATTAAAGAAACCATTTTTCTCTATCTTTCGTTATGTTCAGTAAGGTGGGTCATTCATTGGATTGTCCATTACGATCTAATATCGAAGACTGAAGTTAGAGATCAGCACGATGCAGAAATATATCTATTTCCCAGATTTTTTTTGGATTTGCATGAGAATGGGTCAAGGGTTTAAGCAGAGTGGAAGCAGCAAAAACAACCATGGAAATAGTATTTCCTAGTTGGTAGGGCCAGTTTGTTAATTTGTTTTGGGTTCAAATTTTAGGTGAGGTGGATTTTCAAGAAAAAACCCATGAGTCTCATAAATGTCTTGGTTATTGTAGGGGGCAAAATCGTCTTTTCATGCGCTTTGTTAGTATAGTAACAGATAGGATCATGAATAAATAATTATCCTTTATCGTAGAATCTATGAATTATTTTTCTTTCGATCTCTTTTTACTTTTCTACAACTTGAATTGACGGAAATCATGGCTACATTTGCCACATTTGTGCTTTTGTCACTTGCATTAATGGATGTGATGGTTGATGACTTGCGTGGATTACTATGGGTCGGCACGATGGACTAACAATTAATACGTTACATATAATTCTTCTATATTCAATTGTATACAACTTGTTTTAATGGTTGCACTTCTTTTTCACATGCTTTGTTCATGTAACAATAAATACGATTATTTACAATAGTTATCTTTTCATCATCGAGTATAAGAAATATTTGTCCTCTCAAAATTCAACTTATTTTCTATTTTTTTAGTATGTGAATTGAGAGCATAGTAAAAGGACAAGAATCCCATGAAACTACTAGCCCTAGTTCATGAAGTCAATAACTGCTTTCTACCTGCGCCCAAATAATAGATATTATATTATATTAGCTTTGACTTCTTGATTGCCCCATAATTCAAATATTTAAATTTGTCCACAATAGAGAGCTGAATATGGAGGCTTCACTCCGAGTGGGAGATGGTTTCTTCAAGTAATTTTTTTAAATATAAATTGAAGAAATGTGTAATTGAGAATTTAATAAAAATTATGGATTAATAATAAGCTGACTTAAATTCAAACTTACATAATCTTTCTTGATAAAGGCACAAAGCGTTCCAATTCCAAATATTACTCGTCTTTCTCATTCTATTTCTCAACTCGACGACTTCGTCGATAAATTACATAAGCATATCCTCTGCCTTTGGTCAAATTTGTTACGAATAAGATATGGTATATTTTTCACACACGTAATCTGATCATCATTAAAAGTGTTTCCTCTACTTCAAGGTACGAATAAGGCCCACTATTATATTATTTAAAAATCGGGAGATGACCATTCACACTACTAATAGGCAACTATTTTCAAAATTTATCTTTTATCATTTTTCTATTATGATACTTTGATTTTTCACGAGAAGACGTTAATTCTTTGAAGATGGATATTGAGTTCGAACCACAAGAACTCATTCCATCGTTGAATTCTTAATTTCAGGTTAAGGAAGCAATATTTAGGATTCTTGATTGAAATTTTTTCAATCATAACTAGAACTGTTTATTGAAAAATTGTTAATTCTTCAACATTTTAAATATGACTATTAATTAGGATGAAATACTATTGGTTATTTGAATTATTAATTGAAATAATTTTATTTTTTAATCGTTTATTCATTTAAACTTATTTGAGTAATTGTCTTTTGTTGATTGATTGTTGTCCAAACACATTTTTTATTTTTGCAATAAATCGTGCTTTGGTAAAATTCATGCTGATTTTATTTTTTTAATTTGAAATTTATTTTCTATGATAGGCATTGATTAATAAATGCTTGTAAGTGTGGATGAAATAAATGTGTGTTCAATTTTAAGTGCCATTATGTTTAAATAATCTAAAAAATCAAGAATTAAAACTAAAATAGCATTGAAAAGATTATTGATTTGGGGTAAATAAAGTTTCTAGTTGCTATTTTTTCTTTTGTGATTTTTAGAATATACAAATGGAAAATTAACGTTTTGCCAAGAGATTAAAGTCATTATTTCATTCTTTAAAATGGCATGTCAATCTAGTGAAGTATACTTGATTGATCGAAAATCAACCTTCAATTCCTATTATTCAACACTTTATGAACGATAACTTACTAAGAAAATAAATCTAGATTCTATTGTAGAGGAACCCTATGTAATATAATGTTTATTTAATGACTTTTTTTTTATACTAGTCGTATGCCCGCACAATGTACGGGTTTTGATATTTTTAAGGTAATGTTAGCGTATCAAATATTAATGGAAAACTAAATTATTGTGAAGCTTCAATAAGTTTTTACCTAACATAATAATTAGTAAAATTTCATAATGATAATATTCTAATAAGATTTAAATGAAAACCCCTATTATTTATCCTACTAATTCTCACGTCGGAATTGCCAAGAGTGAGAAAACCCTATCATTTCTTTGCAAGTTTTTGTCATGAGAATCACAATAAGTCGAGAAGAAGAGGGAGAGCAAATATCATTTCGAAAAATATTTTTTTTAATACAAAATATTTAGATTTTAACTTGTTTGACAAGTGTTACTTTTGTTTCAATAAGCAAACCGTGGCGTGGAATGAAATCAAATCGAAACGTGAAAAATGGTTTTGTTTAATTTGAAAAAGTTCAAAACGTTTTCAACAATTTAGTTTGAAAATAGGCAAACTACCATCTGAACTCAATCAAATTCACCCTTAATAGATAGTAATGAAAGGAAAAGAAAGCAAAAATGATTCACATAATAGGGTCGAGCGATATGATATGAGAGCTAATGAAAATGAGGTCATGGGAAAACAATAAAAGTATCGTTCTATTAGGCAAAATAGGGCTGCCGATACAAAAGAATTTGTATTTTGAAGATAGAAATGATTTTGTTTTGCTATGAGTTTATTGTAAATTATTGTTAGTACTGTATTTTTAAAAAAAATCCGCATTGAAGCATCGTTCTATTAGGCAAAATAGGGCTGCCGCTACAAAAGAATTTGTATTTTGAATATATAAATGATTTTGTTTTGCTATAGGTTTATCGTAAATTATTATTAGCACTGTATTTTTAAAAAAAAATCCTCACTGTGCGGACACGACGTCCACACAGTGCGGAGTGTGACTCCGCGTTGTGTGGATTTTTTTTTTTACAGTAGTACCAATAATCTACGATAAACACTCTGCACAACACGAAGTGTTAACGAAAAAATTCTCCACACAGCACAGAGTGAACACTCCGCACCGTGCAGAGTGTTTATCGTAAATTATTGTTACCACTGTAAAAAATAAAAAATAAAAAAATATCTGCACAGCACGGAGTGTGAAAAAAAAAAAGCTCGGAGTGTGGTGTCCATGCTGTGTGGACACCAGGCATTTGGTGTCCGCGCTGTGCAAACACCAGACATCTAGTGTCCACACAGCACGGACACCACACTTCGAGCTGTGCAGAGTTTTTTTTTTTTTTTTTTTATATACAGTGGTAACAATAATTTATGATAAACACTCCGCACAGCGCGGGCACAACGCGGAGTACTCCGCGCTGTGAGGAGCAGAGTGCACACTCCGCACCGTGGAGTTTTTTTAAATTATTAATATTATTTTTTTTACGGCGGTAACAATAATTTACGATAAATTAATAGGAAAACAAAATCTTTTTTATCTTGTATATTTTAAAAGTGTACAATACATTTAAAAATAACTTTAACTAAATTTACAAACACTTATTTTTAACACTAATCAAGTAAACGGTGGATTGTCTCCAAAAAAAACACTTCACAAATGAATAGTAAACGGTGGATTGCCAAGAAGCAACAAGAGATTCAAAGTCAACAATTGTGGATATGGATAGAAGGAAGTTCATACTACCCTTAAAGCTTGGATGAATAGTGGAGAATGAATATGGATAAAATAGGATTAAAAAAAAAGCTTCACAAATAAACAGTAAACGATGGATAACATCTTTTAAGATAGTAGAGATATAAATTTTATAATATTGACTTTCTTAAGTTTCAATCCATTTTAACGAAAATCTTGATCAACACTTAGGTTTCATGAAATGTGTGATTGATATTGAGTTCGGAAACAAATGAAATTTAAGAAAGAATTAAGCTACTTTGTCACAATAATATTGACATCCAAGTTAACGATGTATTGGTGAAAGGAAATGATTGGATGTAAAAATCAATTGATACACAATCATTATGCAAACAAACAACACCCAACAAATAGAGACTATGCTACACATGCCTACACATATATGAAGTGTAGCCATATATAAACTAACCATTGTTTTATCATTTTTTCTTATATGAGACAAGCTACAATTACGTCCCTTCCAACACATAAACCACTTTTAATGGATATGCTTTGAACTTTAATTTTTAATTCACCCAATCATAATTTTGGACATGTAAATATATAATTTCGATATTCTCACGAAAAAGAACACGAATCTATTTTGATCTTCCAGAAGAAGAACCAGATTCTACTCAAAATTATGCCAAAATTCCAACAATTTGTTCATTTTTTATAATACAGTAAAATCTCGATAAATGAATGATCCATAAATTAATAATCTCGCTTAAATAATAAACTTCTTCGATCACGACTAGGGTCAGTGTACTAAATTAATAAATAATAACACTGCTAAATTATAAGATAATATTTTTTTTAGGAACTTTAAGGCCGAACGAATACATAAAATAATAATAGCTAAAATTCATAAAAGTATGTACTAATACAAATTAACAAACTTTTAATTTGACAACATTTTTTCAATTTGCCTCTTTTTCATCATATGCATATAAAGCCCTTTGCATTTTCTTTGCACCCAAATCAAACCGACTTCATTCCTAATTTTTTTGCAACACACATACTACATTTGGCATATATTTTTCATTTTATACAAAGTAATTAGGTAAA